TTAAATCTTCCAATTATCGCATTTTAAGATGAAATCAGTGACTTAAAGAAAGAACAAATAATCTAATTTGCATTTAAAATTAGATTTATAATTTTTTAACTAATTTTACTCATTAATGACAAAATGCTATAACAGATACAGATAAATAAAAGAGGCAAATATATTTATATTGATGAATTTTAAAAGATGAGGTAATCATAGCATTATTTAAATGTATCTTAGAACTAATTTAAGAAAAATGTAGATGTATTGATTATTTATAAAATATGATATATGCAGAAGAATCAAATATCTGATTATGGGTAGCAGACCTCAAACAATTAAATATAAAAAATGCATGGAAACAGATCATTCCTAAAATTAATAGTTCTGTTACATTAATCACCAATCGTCTGAGATTATTGCTGGAAAACGTACAAATAATTATGTATAAAATATCACAATATATTAAAATGGCACCAAATCGTTTTCTACAGTTCTTAGAATTAGTTATATGTTTCTTTAATAATAAATGTTAATATTTTAAAATCTTTAATTGAGGCTTGATGTTACAGGATTGAAATTTAATTTAATAAAAAGACCTCTTCCTGTATATTTTTTATTTCTTCTATCTTTTATCAGACCTCCATCAGGCTAACTTATGATGGTCCTCCTCTCCTGCTTGTCAAATGAGGACAGTCCCCATCTGATACTCAGACTGAACTGAACCAGCGAAAGACCGAAACCAGTTGCGCAAAGAGAGAAAAAATAAAGAATATACAGGAAGACAACATCTTTTTTATTAAATTAAATATTTTTAAAGGTTTTTAGTAATTCATTTAAAATTCAAATACCTTTGCTTCACAATGACATCAATGAATGGCCAACTGACAGAAATATACCAGCATATAACAAGTGCAAAAAGAGCTTTCTTCTCCCTTTTAAAGGTATCGAAATCCTGAAAAATCTCAGATTAAGGGTGTACAAAGCTAGTTCTCATATATGCAGCTGCGAAAACTGGACACTAATCAGCAATCTAGGAAGATTTCAGAGAAACTATAATATATAATTCATATTATGTACTTAAACACAGATTGTAAATCCAAGATTGATCTGTTTTTTGAGGAGATCAAATAAATATTACTCAGGTGATCCGAAAATAAAAGAAAAAGACTTGTATTTTTTACAACCCTTTAACTATTTTTTTTTTCTTTGTAATTATTATATCTTTTTTGGTCATATATAATTTCTAATAGAAGAGAGGTTGTTTGGGGACATTCAGTCAAAATATGATACATATACTCATTAAATCTTATTTTCATAATTTTAACTTTTTAATTCTCTTCTATGCGGTCAATATGTTTTGATAGATTTTACATTATCTTTATTTTTCTATTTACGTATATTATTTTCTTTATGTAATTTCATATTCCTTTTCTCTGTTTTACATTTTATTCTATGTCAATCTTACTTTTAGGATACTAAAACAGTATATTTTAGCAACTTCGTCACCCCATTTATTCTATGTCTAACACTTATGTTTTTATCTCATTATATTCCATTATATTTCTTTGTTAATTCATTTTTAATTTATTTTATTACCCAATTTCATAATGTTTCTTCCATTTATTATGTTTATTTAATTAGTCCATAACTTTGTTGCCGTTATTATTTATTTCATAAGCTACTCTCTGTTACTGTTATTATTTTTTTTATAAGTTCCTAACTTTATCGTTATTTTATATTTCCTTTATTTATATTTAATATGAGAAGGAGTTAATCGGGGGGTGCGGTCAAATAAATACTAAATTAAAATATAGTAATTACTTTAATTTTGGCAACGTTTTGACCCACTTTGCAGGTCGTCTTCAGGGTGTAGGATGTAGCACTGCGGGAGGCAGTTGAAACGGTCAGCCATCTCTACATCATTTATATTTAATATTTCTGCTGCTCCACTAATTTATTAATGTTAAGTTTATATTACCTACATGTTATTAGACTATTCCTTTCACCCACATATAATTATTTTATTTTCAGTGTTAATAGTTTCTCATACCTATTGTTATCTTGTCTTTTCTTAGCCCAGGGGAAGGCCTGAACTTTGGGCCGAAACGTTAGCAAAAATAAAAATAAATATCATTTATTTATTTTAACGTTGTATTTTTACTGAATACCCCAACCAACTTCTCTTCAATTATTCACTAAAGGCAACCATCAATCCATTATTATTAATTTCTAATAGCAATATTTTATTTGAAATTTATTGGTTAGACATCAATTTATTTTCCAAAATGAAATTTGGATAATTTTAATACAATCAGTAGTGGATCCAGGATTTAATTTTTTTTTTATATAAGATAACGTTAATTACTTTAATTGATATTTAAGTAATCCTTCAAGAGGGGAGGACATAATTATAGAAACAATAATGCTTTCAGAGATAATTTTCTTCTTTTTTTTTTTTCTTGACACATGCTTACATTTAGTAGCTATCTATGAGTTACAATTTAAAATGAGGATGTTCTATAATTGTTTAAATATTTAGCTTAGGTCACTCATGGGAAAAAATTTGGACCACCCAAAAAAAAGTTTTCATTTTGGGAGAGCTTCAGGCTAATCCGCCAGTGCAAACAATGAATTTATTTATGCCATTTTGTTAATAAATTAATTCTATTTAAATAGAAGAAAGAATAGTATGGGAAGAAAGATCAATAAAAGTAGTACTCCAATTTTTTAAACGTTCCATGATAAAAAGATTAAAGATTTTGTTTCAGCTAAATATTGTCTAGAGTAGATAAAGTGTTTGAATATCACAATAGCTCCTTGTACTCTTAGTGCAATGTGGCACTTTTAAAGTCATTGGGTTAAATGAATTTATAATAAATTGTGGGATGGTGGTTAACTGTAGTGAATAATTGAAGAGAAGGATGGTTGGGGTGATCAGTCAAAATAAAAAATAAATAATAATATTTATTTTTACATTTGCTGACGTTTCGTCCCGAAGTTCAGGTCTTCACCAGGGCTGAGAAAAGAACCAGATAACAATAGGTATGAGAAACAGGTACTTCTTGTCTAGAGGGCCGTTTTGAAACCTCACTTCTTATCTATCTTATCTAACATAACCTCCCTCTTCTTATCCCGCCAAACTTTTGAGTTATTGCATTGTTTAGTTTTCAGTTATTCCCTTATTACGTTCACTTATTAAATTGTTTACTTTTGGCCCGTTTGTGTTTATTTTACATGGCAGTATCTTAAGGACCCAATTACAAATCTTATGCAGCTGTTCATTAGTCATCATCATCAGTCTATCGCGGAGCTCCACAGAGAGGTCATCATACACCACACAGCTGTAGTCAAAGTGAGGGAAAATGAGAGTGAAAAGTAGGAGTCTACGCGTATGTTGAGTTAGGAGATGGTGGAAGTGATGGAATAGTTTGAGAGTGGAAAATGTCCGTCGAGAGATGTGAGAAATATGGTGATTCCAAAAGTTTTTGATCAATGAAAAATCCTAAATTTTTAACCGCATATGTATATAGATGGCTGTGATGTTACCCCAACATTTTCATCAAAATCAGCTAACCAAAAGTGCTACTTTATATAGTAGATTTTAATTAAACTCATTATATCAGTGTAAAATTAGGCTGTTCTTAATATTATGTAGGTCTTATTCCCATCGATGTTCAATAACAGGGTTTAAATACCTAATTTCAAAACTTCTTGCTCTAAAGTACCTTTAATTTTTTTAATTTGAAATAATTGACCATTTCACGTAGCAACATTCTATGAAAAATAGATAAATATAAAGTACGAAATTATTTGATAATTAATTAAAGGAGAGATCAATGATATAGTGAACCACAACAAAAAACCAAGAAAACCAAGCTAGGCCGAAAGGCTTCAATACGTAACACATACATAAAATACGGCTCCAATAACATTATACACATACAAATGCGGTTTTCATACATATGGATTGTGTTATTTTAATGGTCTTAATGACTTGTTAGTTATTAGCTGTAAGTTTTAAGGTTAGCTATGTTAAAAATGCACTTTAAAAACTTTACAATATTTCTAGAAAATAATTTCTATTCAATATAGAGCGGTAAATGAATGTTGTGTGATGCATTCACCAGATTTTAATAAATGTTACTTTAAAATTAAAGCTGAGAGACAATTTGGAATAGTGCATCAAAGTCAAGTTTGAGTGTAGGTGAAGGAAGCTCGTACAGCTTTCCCTCACTCAAGTTCCACCTCCCCAAGACCTCTATCAAGCTCTACTTTCCCTCTTCACCATAGCAACCACCTTATACTGGGAAAGCATTATTCCATTTTCTTCAAATTTCACACAAATGTTTAGTAAAGTTATGGATTTAAATATAAAAATAAAACAATGGCAAGGATAGTTAAATAATCAAATAAAGAAAAAAAAATACTCCCAGCCTCTGTTTTCGTGAATTTATATATATTCAAAATTACATTTTTTGTCTGAGAGTAGAGTTTTCTCTCTACCCAATTTACTTGACATAATAAATGAAAATCGATAAAAAAAAATGTCAAAAGAAATTTCTACTTCTAAACAAAAATTTAGAACATAAATACGCATAAGTGAGTAGAGAAGACAAAAGAGTGGGAAAGAGGCAGGAAAATGTTTTGTCACTGCGCTCTCTCTCCCTCAAACTTATCTTAGATAAAATCTATTCATATACATGACAGTCTCAAACGATAATCTAAGTCCTCATCATACTTCTGAGGGGCACTATTATTTCAAGTTCATAGCTAATGAAATATGAGCTTTTTATTATTTAAAAAATACTCTCTCAATCTTATATACTCTTTATGACATGAATTCTTTTGCAGCTCAAATTCACACAATTTTTTTTTTTACATTCAAGTACCCAATTGTTTTTAGTATGGCAAGAATAAAAAATTCCAGCTTTTTATATATAGATTTTTTTCCTAAGAATCTTCATGTTATAGAAAAAACTTAAATTAAAGCCATAAATGCAATCTAATCAGAAGTGATGGTTAAAAATATAACACAATTTAGTTATATATTATTTATTTATTTACAATTAAAAATTTTAAATTAACAGCTAACTACAGTAACATAATACACAAAATAATAGTTGGTCGTGCCGTTTTGGAATGACACAGACAAGAGCATAGTCGGACATAGGTAGCCATCGCTAGAAGTGCAGCAAACAACAGACCAGCTGCCCCGCTGCCTTGCTCATTATTTACAACAGAGTAGTCGTATATCTAACAACTATCGACTTCAAGACCGAAGCTCTAAATTCTGACTCTGTATTTATTAAATACACTACAAGCTTCGATCTTTTAGTCCTAGGTGATAAACCTGCTCCACACAGCAGAGCCAGGCCACTTATTTTTTTTTTAATCTAGTTTTTGAGTTTCTTTCATACAAAAATACTCTGTAGAAAATTTTGAGTTTCAGATGAAAGAAACACAAGGAAAATGTCTAAACAGGGTATTCTATCTTCAAAAGAGCACATGTGACTATAATTGTTTTGATGGAATCAATAAACAATCTTGTGACTATGGTTAAACACTAGAGTATTTGAACATGCATGTTTAAAAATGGTTTACGATATACTAACAGTTTAATATGGTTTACGATATACTAACAACAATTAACAGGTCACATATTCAGACTTATCCATTTTACTATAAAAATATTCTACCCTTCTTATTTAATACAATCATACAAGAAATAACACGAGGTATTCACTCTGAAGAAATATATCCATTATATAAGAAAAAAGAAAGAAACTCAAAGACAATTATAATATATATTTTATTTATTCAAACTTAAAATTATAAAATACTGTAACTGGTACATATTATTATAAAAATATATTTGTTCAAATATTTCAACTGCCTTATGAATCTACAGCCTCGAAAAAAAAAAAAAAAATAAATAACCGAAATGAAATATGTGTGAACAAAAATGAAAACATGAAAAAAGAAAAATGCATTTAAATGCTAAATAAATTCTATTCTTAATTAATACTAAAAATTTAACATAAAATTAACTAAAACACAATTTTACAATCACATTTAAATACAGCCAAATGACCAGACTTACGATTAAAACAAAGGTTACATTGTACACATTGAAAAAAAAAATCTGAAGATATTACAATATTTTTTATTATTATTTCTATTAATTTACATATGTATTTTTATACATATGAATGAGGTGTAAAGTAATCAATATAGGCTATCAATGTTATTATTCATAAAATGACAAAAATAATATTTTAGCCAAAATTAAAATAAAACACAACTGGAATGATGTAACATTTGCTTTAAAACATTTAAGAATTGCTACTGTAAGACTAATAGTATGCATCTAATTAAGAGACAACAATTCTTAAAGTTCTTCCTAAATAAGTAGATATTATTTTTATATTGCGAAAAAGACATTATTACAGAACATTTTAATAATTAAAGAAAAAAAGACTTTGGGAACTACGTCATTCGTTCTTTAAGGAATGAAATTATTCAAGATCAAATTCCATTTCAAAGATTTAAACATGTAGATAAAATTAAATTTTAAAGAAAGAAAATAATTAAAATAAACAAATTAATTTTTTACATTAGAGCGAATATATATATATTACTAAGCAGCAACATTTTTTAAAATAATTAAATCATATATACTTTCTGAACATGATCACGATTTATCACAAATAAGTGTAAACAAGTATAAAATCACAATTATTATAAAAAAATTATTTATTAATTATATTACAAAAACTCAAAGCGGTACTTATTCTGACTCGGCAGAATGTTAGCATTAGTAACACCTTGGTCATGATTAAATATTTTGAGATCACCGTAGTTAATAAATAAAAAAAGCTATTTACAATAATTTGTTATGGAACATTACGCTGGTAAGTTTTGTTCCATAAACATTTAATGCAATTTAACATAGAATACAGAAACTTATTTGTAATGTTATTTTTTTTTTTTTTAATTTCGTATTTTTGATATTCTTAACCCATAGAAAAATATCTCAAGAATGAGGAATGATTAACAAGTCACTATTCAAAATCAAAAAGTGATGTCTTTTTGAGAATTTTATGGTCAAGATTTAAAAACAATTTTTTTTTTGTTTAATTTTTTTTTCATTTAAAGCCTAGCGGTGTATTGCTATTTTAAGTATTGCAATGATTTTTTTTTTCAAAATATTAATTGATATATATACATAATCCTCTATGTTATATTTTGACTGCCTAATGAAGAAAAATTCTTGACTAATTAGGCTTTTGAAGTCAACTAATTAGAAAGAATTCGAATGTCCAATTAAAATGAACATTTTTCATCGACATTTAATCTCGATATCTACAGCACAAAATTCAATAAAGCTAGGCTTCATCGTGGAGTGAACTTATAGTCCATGCAGGCAGTATGCCTAACTATTACCACAGTATCTAGATTCACTGCATACAAAAAAGAGATATACCTCAGTTTTCTAAACAAAATTTTTGTTTTTAAGTGTTTATGTTGTTTCCATTCAAAAGTTACAAATATTTTCAAAGGCAAAAATATAATACTTAAATTCTAAAAATAAACAGTTTTTCTCCATCAATAGTCAAGATATAAGAACTTTATAAAATTAATTTTACAATGTACCATAATGTATAATAAAACATTGAAATTTGTACATACATAAATAGAAAAAGAAACAGAAGTGACAAGATACAGGCGATGTATATTTACAAATGTCCTGTCTTGAAAATGAAATTAAATTTCAGTATATTAAATAAAATATTACAATTATTAATTTATTTAAAAGAAAGCAACACTAGTTATGAGATAGTGAGGACATCACAATTTGTACTTTCATTAAATAGTTTTCTTTTTTCTTTTTAAATTAAAGATTTATAGCAAAGATGTATACATGGACGAAATAAAATGTTCAATGTTTCACATTTTTATTTTTATAGTAATGTATACTAGAATAAAAATACTGTTCAAAACATCTTATATAAATATTTAACTTTTCTTTTTTTTCTAGGCCATGATATACATCAGTGCAAAGGATAAAGCTATCAACTCTGCTTTAAGAATAAACCTCGATAAATGTATGCAATCTGACATCTTTTAATATTAAAAGGACCCGCGACTTCTGTAGAGGAGCTTCGAGACCAGCGGCCAGGAAACGGAAAAATACGAGACTCATTTCCGACTATAAACTAGCTTCCTCTAAGAGGATCTGGCTTAGAAGCCTGTTCAAAGTGTCTAGGCCAGTTAGGAAACCTGCGTCAGGGCCTTGGTGGTGCCCTCCTCTTCTCGAGAATGTTGTGTGGGCAAAGTCGATCATGCGGAGGTCAACAACTGGTTCCGTCGAATTTGTTACAGTCCCCCTACGGACTCGTTTCACTTCTGCAGGTGGGGCTGAAGTCAAGAGATCAAAAGTCGAAATGGATGAAGAGGATGCTTCTTCAGAACCAGAAGAACATTCCGACACAGGAGATTCCCACTCATGAGGCTCCGGGCTACATCTTTTTGGTGATCTGCAAACGGGAAATTATAAAATTAAAAAAAAAAAAGTTACTGTGTTCACTAATATGATTATCATTAACCTCTTTGGGACCAAAGTCAAATACAAAAATGATTTGCTATATTAACCAGAGAATGATTTTATTATTTTTCCTTAACTTTAAAACATAGCTTTGTAGATAACTTAATTAGTTCCAAAAAGACATCCAAAATATTCAGTATTTGACAAACTAAAGAAAAGTGAATGGGTTTCTATGGAAAACTGCACAGAATTAAAAACATGGGTACATAGTCTAATGTGAAATATTTTTCCTATTGACGAGATCAATTCAGACTTTTTTATCGTTAGAGAGAATTTAATAATAATAACTTTTCAAATTATGGTCTAAAATGCTTTTTTTTTTTTTTAATAATAAAATAAATTCAGAGGACTCTTAAAGGCATAGGGGCTCATTAAAAATTACACAAAAAAAGTTTGAATTGATTATGATAGTTTATTTTTTCTGTAGCACTAGAAAAAGAACAAAATTATCATTTTTTTTTTTTTTTTGGATAAAGCTTTTTACAACATATGTAGGAACCGACTTTCCAAAATTACTTCAAATTGGTCAAAGGATTCCTGAATTATAAGTGTTTTATTTTGAATCTTTAAAAAAAATTTAAAAGTCCTTATTTAAGGATTTATTAATATTTTAGCAATGATGAGCAAGAAATGTGAAGAGTACTTGAGGACGGAATATTTTCCATCACCCCTCATACCAATTGCACATTTTTATTCAAGGCATTGTTCAAATGCCTTTGAATACCAGCCACAAAAAAAATTACCTACTGCCTCATCATGGGAAGGCAGCAAGATAGTTTGAAAGTAGAATTGACCACTGGCAACACCGTCATTTATCGAGAACCCAACCCGATAAGTTCTCAACTAATATATGAGTTCACCGTAGCCTAGGCCTGATTACATCGCGACTCAATATGAGTCCACCATCGTTAAAGACCAAAAACCAATCTGATGTAAGTTTAAAAAGAAATTTTTTTAATACATACAATAATAGTATAAATCAATAGATCCTTCAGATCGATCAAAGATTTAATTATTTCATTTTAAAAACCTATAAAGTGCACTATTTCTGAATCAATAATAATGATTTTGAATTAGAGTACAATATTGGTAGTACAACACTCTTTAATTTGACAAGCTCATGAGACGGCATTATTTTTTAGCCACATGTTCAGAATTTCAAATTATTAAGATGTATTGGTAAACAATGGTTATTACATTTTCCTAATAAAGAATTATTAAGAAACCAAATTTTGCCTTGTATTATTCCACTGTAATTTCTCATTTTTGCATTGTTTTAATAGGCTCTCAATTGTCTATAATAATGGAAATCTAAATACAGTACGGTTTCGATGATCCTCTGTTAATCCGAACAGAAAAGAAAAAAGTTAAAAAGTTTACTGAAGGGAAACAGAATGGAAAAGACTTTCTTTCCCAGTGTAGAGGTTTATTTGAAATCGTATATTAGTTTCTCTAAACAGAAAAAATTAAAACTAAGCAGTCTTCCAGAAGTAGAGGAATCTCTTTTTATAAGTGGTTTTTACAGAAGAGATCACGAAGGTGTCTGGTTTCAAAGACATAGCTGGAAAATCAAAGTTTTTTAAGAAGTACGACAAAGCAGATATGGAATACGCTTTTTTATTTTTATAATATATAACTTTTTATTTCACACAAAAATTTATTTATGCCCAATTTCATTTTTCATTAGAGATAAGTCATAGAAACACCATAAAGACATTTAATACTTGTGTGGAGTGGACAAATGGTACAATGTCGACTACCGAAGCCAACAAAATCAGAGACAACATACACAAAATTATCATAATCAGAAATAATTTTTTTGCTTGTAATGCTAACTATCAGTTAACATTCAACTGATAATACATTTATTTTTGTTACCTGCAATTTTTCCATCATTTTAAATTTAACCTTTAATAATCCAAACATTTTGATAATCTGTACCAGCTATGCAATCTGTTCATATTATCAAGACCGTCCCGTCCTGTAATGAAAACTTATCGGCCCCATATTTGTTGGATTAACAACACTGTACTTACAATGGTTTAAACCTGGTATAACATTTTCAAATTAAACTAGAAAACTGGACTAGGAAGAAATGAACTTACGAAGAAAGTGATGTGACATCCATAGTTTCTTCTGAAATAGGAAAGAAACCTCCGACCGATGGAGGCTGAAGAAAATCAGGATCACCACTACTGCTACTCCTTGTGTCCTCTCCGGACAGTCCCGAATCTCCTTCTACATCGATGTAACCCTCGTAGGTGATGAGGAGAGAACTGGACAAAAACATGTGAAAACATTAAGTATCAAAGAGAATATAAAAAAATATATATAAATATTTTGTCAAATAACAGGTAGTATACAATTTTTACCAAACTAATTCTTGTTGGAAGTTAACGTAGTCTGTGGTACAGACCCCTTTTTATCAAATAATTAACATCCGCCTAAAACTTCTTGAATGGCTTCATCTTATCATAACCCAAAAAAATTGTATTTACAAAATTTCTCAGAAATGGGGCATTTTCTCATTAAATAAATTCATTTAAATGAGATACTAAGAACTCAGAAATACCCATTTTCTTTTCAATATAATCGTATAATAATTTGATCACAAAATGATAAAAAAAAAAAAAAAAAAAAAAAAAAGATGGCCTACAAAATGATTGGGCAGTTTGGCTTACCTAACCTTGTTTTGATATGTTGGGGATGGAGGTCACGCCAAACAGTCCAATATTTTTCCTTGATTTTGTGATCAAATGATCTCATTATTCAAGTGGAAAGTAAATGTGTGTTCATGAGTTTTTACTACCTAATTAAATAGACAAAGTTTGCCAATCTCTAGATTGAAAACATCTCAATTCCGAGAATTTAAAATTGTAGGTTATGATGATGATGAAGCTGTTCACAAATTTTTAGACGGATGTTAATAATTTGATAAAAAGGAGACTGTAACACAGACTAATACTACTCAAGGAGAAATAAATGAAAAATTTATTAAAATATTCTTACCAAGAGTAGAATCTGTATGAGCTCTGTTTTTCTATTGCTGTACGAAGATCATTAAGCCTCGTAATGACCGTCCGAATCACAGAATGGTTGAGCGAAGCCCCGTTATGGAAGAACTTATGAAGGGCTCCTTTGAAGCCGTCCGCATTCAGTTCTCTTCCCCAATATTTATCACGCTTAATGAAATGATCAGCAGTAGCATTGTACACCTAAAACATAACATTAAACATAAATATTGTCATTTAATTACAATGGAAAGATATAAATAATATTGAATCAGTAAATTTGATAATAAACAAAAGAAATGAGAGTAAATGAGCAATGTCGGAATCCACTTGTTCTGAGGGAAAATACTGTAAAGCGGGTGGAATCACTCATCTACTTGGGAAGTGTGATCACCAAAGAAAGAGGCTCATTGGAAGATGCAAAAAGAGCGCACTTGTAGATGTCCTATATTCCATCAGTAGTCAACAGTGATGATAATAATAATAATAAATAATAAATTTTCTACTATAAACAATAAAGTTTTATTAATTAGGTTTCATATGGCAGTTTCCAAGTTGAACAGGCCCTACAGATAATACCTTTGGTGATCACCATCATTGTCAGGAGATTCAAAAATAATAAATTAAGTGAGCCTAATGGATAGGTTAATATTTCCAGCTTTGGATGTGGAAGATCGAAATAAACAAAATACCATATTCATTCCTATATCGTCTGTTTATGGAAAAAAGTCGCTAAGTTTATTTATTTAATGTTTGTGTGAATTTCTATCTTATTTATTGATTAAAAAAACACAAATTATTTTATACATATCAAATACAATTACAACAAGCACCCAAATTTATGATTTCATAATGGGAAAGTCCATCAATGTTTTCAGTGATTTAAGGTAATGAAATGTCACTTAATGACATTTTACAATAAATGGATGATATAGATTGTCTCTGAAACATAATTCGATCCTGCATTGCTTAAAAATTTTTTTTTTAATACATTTTCACTTACTGAAATATAACATAGTAATTTAACGAGTAATCACTGAGGTGCATATTTGAAAAAAAATTCTGTATTGATATTTTATATTATAAAAATTAACAAATAACTCCTGGACAGCCAATTTAAAACTGAAATATACCCTTTTAAAGCTATAAAATTAGTTGAAAAGTCTGAATAAAAAAAATAATTACGTTGAAAGGCAAAATGATAGAAAACAGATATTTACCTGCATTCCACAGAGTCGCACCCCAAGGCTCGCAGAAGTACTAGCAGCACACTTTGCCATCTGTTTCGTCCGCTTCTCAGCAGATGCATCATCTCCATGTTGTCTTGTACCCATTTTGAGGTCAAGAATGCATGGCCGCTTGTAACGGCAAGTGATATTTTCCAATAATAGAAAATCTGAAGTGGGAGTCAAGGTTTCATATAAAATTATATATACATAAATTTTCAATTTTTCAGTGAAAATAAATATAATCACAGTAAGGGTTTTATTTATTAGAATTCGATATAGAAAAAAAATTATTTAGCGAAAATTTCAGTAAGAAAGGTTACTTTATTTTGCAGAACAGTGCAATAAATAAATTTTTAGTTTTAATCAAAAAGACGTTTTGTTAACCTCAATTTGAAGGTTGAAAATATATTACCTTAATTTCTCATTTGAGATTTTTATTTTGCTAAATGGGAAATGTAAATAATAATATCATCTAACATACATTCGAATATAATTCCTAAGACAAAGTGAATTTTCTTTTCCTACAACAAAATAAACTCTTTGCTCCTATAATGGTTACTTTGCCTAACTTCAAGCTACTAAGTTTTCAAATGAATTATATAAATATACGTAAATAAAATCACTTTCAATTCTGTAGTTCTAATTTTAAACAAGATAATACACATTAAGAGTTTTATTTTCAGTAAAAAAATTAAATAAATAAATATCATTAAAAAATAATAGTTATTTTCAACATATTTTTTTAAAATGTAATTAAAAGCCATAGTTATTTTTTACTATGAACAGATAATTAGTTAAAGATGCTCAACTTCATTTGAAAACATTTAATTTATAAATTAAAAATTTGATTTTAGCAAAATGCATACAAGTTACCAATTAATTTTTACTTTTATTTTAAATATTATATTTTTATTTTAAATTTTGTTCTTAATTTTAATAAAAAATAACTGTTATACTTTGATTTATAGAAAAAATTAATTCTCAAATTCATTCGCTGGTATTGAATTCTGATCTATGTTAATACAAAACAAAAAAGAGCAATGCATAGAAATATCAAATAAATTTTAATTTTTTAGAACAACTCTAGTATTAAAATATTGTCAGGTTATTGGTAAATGCTAAGTCAAACATATTTACTTTATTGAATAGGTGATAAAATATAAACATTTTGAATTTCTTCACTTTTACTTAAACCATTATTTTCAAATACAGTAAGTACCAGGTTGTTGTTTTTGGACTTTTCCAGATTACAAAAAAAAAAAAAAAAAATGTAAATATTGTACCCAGAGCTCTTATGCCTATGAGTTAATTAAACATTACAATTATTTAAAATAAAAAATTAACAAAAAGGATACATTCATTTGACTTGTCCGACGGCTGAAGTCCATTTTTCATAACTTCATTAGCACTTTTGTTCCGCCTTACTTTCATTCTGTAAAAAGAAAAGAGAAACAACAACATTAGAATAAGCTGCTATTATGATAAAATAGTCCAGTTTCAATAAGTGAAAATAAAACATTTCGATAATGGTTCAACAATTTTTACTTGATCGAGAAGCAGCTATCTGAGCATACCATCCGCTCATGACCAGAATTGTTTAGAAACACCACAAATCTTTGAAGAACGAATGAAAAACTGGGTCATGAGAAAGTGAAATCGCCAGGCCTGAGGTCGGTCGGCGTCGCATTATCGTCCAATGTCCATTATCAGCTCTCTCCTATAATTATGTTTGTCTAGCTCATTACGAGGAATACATGTTCATCCAATTAAAATGAAAAAAAAAAACTTAAAGGTGTTCGTATAAAATTATTTCATGTTTGCCCTATAAATTCCAGTAAATCTCCTGGTCATTAAAAAATTACTTTTTAATTATTGGCAAATACTCTGGAAAAATAGCCAATTGAAGAATTCAGAAGAACAAAAAATTATCTTACTTTTTTCCAACGAAAAGACTTCCTAATAATTCATAAGAGGGTTAGATTTTATCTATGTACAGAGCTGACCATTCAGAAGTAACAATCCATATGATACATATATGATGTAAAAATTCATTTCTTTAAATTAGGGAGATCTCATTTTATCTTAACATAATTGTTATTATTCTATAGTAAAAATTAATTGAGACGATTTCTTAGTTTGGTATCATTCAAGACAAATAATAATGAAAATAAAATAAAATAAATGTTTTTTTTTTTTTTTAAATCTCTATCTCATTATGAAAACTTCCTGAGTATCACAATAATAATATTGTGTGGGCATCTTTTGTAATTATATAATTGTCAAAAAGAATACAATTAAAAAAAATTTGTAAAGCATTTTTTTTTTAGTCCTTAGCTCACACTTGTCTTATATATGTTCTAAGACATTTATTTTTAACAATTATATAATTAAAAAGGATGTGCAATATTATTTTTGTGACATACATGATTATGATATTCAGGTAGTTTAGATGATGGAGACAACAGTCCCAAAACATTACCCAATAGAAAAATATATTGATGCGTTGTAAGATCTAATTTGGTTGAATCATCATAGAAAAAATTGTATGAACTTCCTACCAAATTTAGAAGTAAAAATATAAATATAAGTAAAAAATAAAGTTTCTTTTCTTTTTTTTTTTAAGAAAAATTATTTTGTTTATTTAAGAAAGTTGTGAATAATGGTAATAATTAATTTAATCACCTCATTATATTTTATCATAAGGCAGATGATTTCATATTGGTAAACTAAAATAGAAATCCATGTTAAACAAATTTTATTTTATTATTTATTTTAATTTTTTCCCCTCAGGTCAGTTGATTGAATATAATACGATTTTGACATTTAAAAACCAGTCAAAAGCTTATAATAAAGCAGTGTAAAACTGTTGCTATAGTTTTCATTTATACTTAAAAAGTTAATTGTAATTTTGTAAGAAAATAAAGTTTTGTTATTATAACAATAATCCACTTCACTCTGGTTTTTAATAACATTTCAGGTTATTCATCTATCCACGTATAAAGCAGGTGGAATCATTCATCTACTTGGCAAGTGTAATCACCAAAGAAGGGGGCTCATTGGAACATGCTAAAAACCGAATCAGAAAAGCAAATGGGGCGCTATCCCAACTTTACTCAATATGTAAGAACAAGAAAGTGTCCAATAAAACAAAAATGAGGTTGTTTAACACCATTTTAAAATCACTCCTGTTCTATGGCAGTGAAACATGGACATTTATTTTTTTTTATGTGATCTTTATTTTCTTTCTCTAATGATGCCTGAATAGTATGTATGTTTGGGACTCAAGGTATTGTAGTTAGAATCTCTCATTTGTATTAATTTTATTTTTTCACTAGTTAGTTTTTAATGTATAAAAAATAAATGTTTTACATCCTAAAAAGGGCTGATAACATAGAACTGTTAGGTCCATACAAGTATCGTTACATAGTCCATTTAAAAATCTAACATGGCTTAAATCTATGTAATCTAGTTCTCTTTTGAATCATAGATATATAATATATAATGCTAAACACCATAAATAACACCATGGTCTACAGTGCTTTCCAGTATTTTTTGTAGCCATCGTGATGCACCATATTTAACTAAACTATTGCCGGGATGCATTATGAATCCTATTATTCTGGTGAGAAGATTGATTAAACACAATACACTCCATTTAGCATAGCATACTGACTCTGCGATCTTAACTAAATCACTAGAAGCAGATTGATGTGTACTTAACGAAGCAAAACACAGTAGGACTACATCAGGTTACAAAATCAAAGATCCTTCCGCCATCACTGTCTCAACTACATGGACTCATAATATTTCAGATTCATTAGGTTTAGTTATGTGTGCTCTTATATTATTCAGTTCTATAGACTATTCTATTACAATTTTTCCACCTAACTCTCTTATGTTTTGGCTTTTAAAGAATACCTGCTGACTGATGTGTATGCTGATGTGTTATTTAGCAGTTCAACATGGTCGAGCAACCGTGTAATATTACTGTAGTTCTTTCTCTTTCTACCAGATAATTTTGGTTTGAATAAACATGTTATCTGCTAGTCATCTATATGCCATATTATTCTTATAATAGACTTGGTTATTTGAATCATGACTTAATAAGAGCAAAAACTCAAGAAAAGACAAAAATTACAGTTGGAATATTTCAAAACAAAGCCTTAAGTCTCTTATGGATTTTATTTGGACTGTTTCTCAGTCCAAAGATATTTGTTAGTCTTATTAATTTGTTTTTGATATGTATATTTTAAAAATATTTTGGAATCAATAGTTTAAGTATATAATGTCAATTAATTTCAAAAAGTCATCACGTAAAAGTCATTTCCTAAAATGAACTCGCTAAGTACTTTGATGAGGTTTTTCCTCCGAGAAATCAGAAAATTGTGTACTTAATGTAATATATATAATATGGTTTGTGTTATTTTGAAACACTTAAAATACAATTTTTGCATCAATAACTATGATAAAAATTTATTAATAAGTTTAAAGGCAGGAAAAATGTACTCAGTGACTTTTAGAAATAAACCGACAATATGTTTCGAGTAAAGTGTAAATACTGATATTATGAAGCTCGGAAAAATATTATAGCTTGATTAGTTTATATTTTTAAGACAGTTGACATCAGATATAATGTCTTTGGTATACATTTATGTAATCTCATCTCTTACTGTGTTGATGATGCCCGAATTAGTGAAATGTTGTTAAACACTTGGATACAAAAGCAAACAATGGTGTAGAGACCGTATTTGTATATGCACAGATACATATGGATCTGTGCATATACAAATGACACCCTTAGTAGTCTATGACACCCTTTATCACCTATACGCACTTGATTTTCATATTCCTCAAAAGTGCTTTAATATGGTCGATGTAGGAACACCTGCTTGTAAGTTATAATTGATGATATTAAAAATAAGTGAACAAGACGTTGGTAGAAGCATGAAATTTTTCTTGGTGTTGGGAAAGTCAATTTTAGTGATCATGAAAACAGAAACTTCTAGATAAATTATATCAACTTTGCCAAGATATATGTTGATAAAATAAAAAATAAGGAAAACAATCTTATTAAAAAAGGGAGCACTCCTATGAAATATGAAAAAAAAAAAAGACAGTTCTGATGGCAGGAAATTTTTTTACGAAACATCAACTCTATATTACTGTATGACAAATAAAGTGGCTTTATATTTGTATCACAACAGAAGTTTCTTTTGGCAAGATCACTAGCATGAAATTTTTGTGGATGGTACTTGAATTGGCTACAACTTAATTTTTTGGACCTCTTTAATGATTTAAAAAATAAGACTTGCATTCTCCTCTCCCCCTCCTCCCCCTGCCTACATCCCCTACACACATTTTATGTTTTTGGGCTAACTCTCCAACAATTTTTTTTTTCTTGTATGATTTTTATAATCGGAATGTGACAAAAAAGATGTTGGGAGAAAATATTGGGCAAAAAATACAACCATGAGTAAATATAATGAGTTTTGATGTCTAAATATCTGTGAGAAATATTAGTATTATTTTTTTTATATCATAGTAATAAGTTTTTTTTTTGGTTTATAATGAAAATATTAATTCTTTATATAGTGTTTAGTCAAAATTAATTCAATTTTGATTTTCTTAATTTTTTTAGGTTGAGCAATTTAATTAATTTCCTATTTCTTGGTAATTCATTTATATTAATTTATTTTCATAAGTTTTTTATGATTTCTAGTTACAAAACTTTTTGTACAATCCCAACATTGGCTAACAATGTTTACCATATTTCCCATTTCAAAGTTGGTATAAAGTTATAGCTATTTAGAAATGAAAACTTCTTATTAGATATGAATTGGTTTCTTGATTGTCTAGAAAAAAATCATTTTTTTTTTTTTTTTAGATAGTGTCTAGATAATCGACTTTGTATCCAAGTATTTACTGAGCCTCATTAATTTACTCTTATTTTTATGATACTTAAGGCTTTATTTTGAATTTGAAAGCTTCTCGAATAATATCCCAAGTGAATCATAAATTTAATTTAAAAATAAATTAAATTTAAAAGATAATCAATGAGAAAGTAAGAAATATATCAAATCACCTCAAGACGTCATCCCTTTTCCTTTTCGCTGCCCGATTGTTGTCATCCCTAAAACTTGGGCTATAGCGTTTTTCAAGCTTAACGTCTCCTGTTCCTTGCATTATTCCTGTAACAATTACAACTTATGAAAAGATGAGTTATAAACAAGGCAATAAATACTTAATCAATATTAAATAATAAAATTATTATTCATCTTATCATTCAAAAAATTCATACAAAATGCAAAAAAAAAAAGTATTATCAATGGTACAGGGGGTCTTTACAAAAAAAAAAAAAAAAAAAGACACGTCACACTCATATGAATGATTGTTAATCAATGAAAAGTGAAATGATTGAATTAAATTAAATGAAAATGAAATCTGTTAAAATTATATGAAAGACAAAATTAGCACAATAATTTTTTTCTTGCAAAAAAAGTTAATAAAAAATTTCAGGTTTTCATTTGTCACACTTAATGAGCAAACATCAGCACCGAAATTGCGATTTTCATGCAAACTACAATTTCAGTGTTGAACCTTTTACCTCTTAAGTAGACTTACTCATCTTGTGTTTAATATATACATTTTTTTTAAAATGATATCGCAAGCTTACAATAAGACCCTCGACAATACCACCACCCCTATTTCACTCTTTCCTTCTCAACTTTATACGACATTCACAATACCGGTTTCTAGATAGCTTTTAGATCTTCTTTTATTTCTAAAAAGAAAACCATACAACTAAAATTAATATCTATTATATCTAACTCAAAATAAATATTATAAAAAAATAAAATAAATAAACAAAATTATATGGAAAAGAAATCAGATGCTATCTGGAAACGGTCTTCTTTTACTCTGATTATTAAAGATATCACATATATGTCTGAGCACTCATTTTAAAAAAGCTTAACCAAACATGGACATTTGTAATACTTAAATAATACTTCTCTACATACTCTGGAAAATTTTAAAATCATACTAAAAAAAAAGATTTTTAATGAATTAGTTTTTGAGATGTATGATGTATGATACTTTTTAAAATAACGACAAATGCGCTAAAATGACCTAATGCTCCTTGATAATGTGTTAGTAGATAATTTTATAAACAAGCACAGGGTAAACTCTCTCCTTATTCAGCACTATCTTGTTCAATCAAACAAAGAACTTTATTTTTTAAAAAACTTATCTTAATAAATAAATAATTTTGAAAAATATGGGACTATACACCATGAAAATGTTTTAGTTTTGATGAAATGAAAAAAAAATCATAAATAAATGGTATATGGTGAAATAGGGAAATATTTGTTGTGAAATGATCAAGCTATATTAAGTAAACAAATCATTGTATTCGTCAACATTTTAACCTGTAGTATTTCCATTCAGCCATATTCAGTTCAACGTAGCCTGATGTGAAGATTGAAGACTTTTCTTCGTCGGTTTCTTGTTTTCGCCTGGGTGATGATCAAAGATGTGAGCTGAAATGAAAGATGTAAGCCAAATAAAACAATCTGATATGTGTTTTATTCAACTTGACCATTTCTCAACAAATCGAACTATAAATTTAAAAAGATTTAGTAATTTTTTTTGGGCATGTTAGGTTTATTCGAAATAATGCTAATTCAATTAACAATTATAGCTTAAGAAAAACAACAAATAAATAAAAAAATAGATGAGGATTTATATAATTTAACAATGCTGAATAAAGATAGAGCCACCTGTATATTGTTAGTTAGGAACATTCATTGACTATTGAATAGCGACAAAAAAACAAAGCACAAGCTATCATAAAAGCAATCTGCAGAGATCAGATAGATTTGACTATTGAATGATTTTAATAAGTAATTAACGTAAAGCATTATAAAAAAATAAGTTTGGCACCTCCCTCTAAATACATTAATTAAGAATATCTACCGCCTTAAACCTAAAATCCAGATAGAGCAAAAATTACTGAAAAATTGATCTAATTTTACTACATAGGTGTACTATAGAGTCCAGGATAAGAAAATATGATTGAAGCACAAATAAATGTAATAGACATCACAAATTCATTTTGTTACAATAATTTATATATGTTTAATTTCTCCCACTTTTTTTTTTTTTCAAATAATAAACATTACATCAATTTACTTCAACAATATTTTCATTTAAATAGAAAAAAATAACATCTGCACTGCTCAACTCGACATTGTCAGGGAAAAATATTATTTAACAATAATATATTAATGTTTAACAGTTAAATAATTTTTGAATATTGAATAGGAGCATAAAAAAAATAATGATTTAGAAGGCTGTATTAAGTAATATAAGAAATATTCAACTTCCTTGCAAAAAAAAAAAAAAATGGAGCAGTAACAGAAAATTAATTATTTTCTACTGAAGTGCGACAAACAGTTTTGGTTTAGCTTTTTTATAAAAAAAAACAAACTTTTTTTTTGTTCTTAATGAGTACTTAGACAATTAATTTTTTCTTTTAATAAAAAAAAAGAAAAAAAAAACTTTTTAATTGAAGTAAATTGAGAAGTGTTTGTTTATACGAACCGTTGCAACACAGAACTGTTTGTGTGTGGGCCCAGACCGTCATCTGTTTGACTTAGACGAGGTAAGTGGGAGTGAGAGAGGTATATAGTCCCTCGCTCGGGGGGCCAGCGCGGACCAAGCCGTGTCCTCTGCACATTAGTCAGACAACATCTCTCACCAGGATCAGTATTAGGAAAGTATTGGAAAGCAAGGATCGGAAGGAACGGTTCATCGTCAACGTCGTAGTCCGCATTAATAAAATAATTCACTCTATATCAGGGACCGGATTTTCATACAATTATACAAAACAGCTCTCCAATAATTTATTCATATGACTAATTCATTTGATATAATTCATCCCATTGAATACTCAGGAATAAAAACATATATTTGGCAATTTTGACAAATATGTACATTTTTTTTAATTATAGAAATATTTTTATAAAAGTAGTCATCTATACTACTTAGGACTAAGATAATCCTGGTTTATTTAAAGAAAATCTAATTACAGGTAAAATTTTCATCGCTTATTTCCAAAGTGATCCCTAATAGATTTTTTTTTTGGAAATGATATAAGCATTGATCAATTTCAATAAGTAAAGTGTTTTAATAAATTAAAAGAAAATTCCAAGTTTTATTAATTTTTTTTTTTTTGTAAAACTAGAGAACATAGACTTCTGTTTAACTTTATATCATAATATTTGCGGTTTGTTACCATGTTAATTTTCATTGATTTTCCCCATTCAGTTTCCATAAGTTCACAGGTCGAGGACCTGCTGTAGTAATAAAAGCTTTTTTATTATTTTGTAATACATTAAAATATTAGTTTAAAAAATCATCACATATTGGAACACTTTTTGCTGTATAAAAATCTGGTCTCTGTTTATAATTCAACTTATGTATTTGATCAAATGATAAAATAGTAATATGTAAATTTATAACTAACATTGAAGAAAACAATATTACATAAAAGCTTTCAATTATCACCACATATATGGTATAACCATGAACATAAATAACTCATAATATAAACTGTTTTGTAATAAATATTATATGATAAAAAAAACCTACAAATTTTAAATATATATCAAACAAAGCCGACGACAGAAAACTAAAAAAATTAAATTTATTTACTTGTTGAAAATTCTGTGAAAGCTTTTTTATAATATTCCAAATATGAAAAGTTCAAATCAGTAATTCCTTCCCATTTGTTTAAAAAATAAAATGTTTGATTTTTATTGGTGCGACACAAATATTTCATAAATATAAAAAAAATAATTTTTCTCATTGAATTCTGTAATAAATTTGTATACAGCAAAGCAATAATCAATACAATTTAAGGTATCATATTCTATACAAACTTAAGATTTTCACATTAAATTTTCTAATTACAGCTTTTTGAGAATACACATCCTAATATAAGTCGGATGATATATATCATAGACAGTTTATGCCTTTCGAGAATACCATGATTTAGGTATCTCAAGAATACATTGAATCAATGATGAACCGTGGTATTACATCTACACTCACCGAATAATAATATTTCCATCTTTATCTAACCTTTTTTTTATTTTACACTGTAATTTTTTTATTAAAAAAATAATGTAAAAATTCGAGAAACTTAGATGTAAGAATTGAGTAAGTCTAAATTTTCTAATTTTTATTTGAATGCATTTGTATCTGAGGACAGTATTGCTGTTTTGATAGATAAAAGAATATATACGTAAAATCAGTTCTTCCTGCGTGTTAAATGTCGACATACTACATAACTTGTCATAAACCTGTTATCTATTGGTACAAAAACCTTATATCTCTACACTTAGTTTTGACACTAGTGTTAATGAATGTACACAACCTTTGAGAAAAAATATTTCGGTATTTGTTGATTTATGCAATTTCAAATGAATGCAATTACCTGGTGTCTTCTTTGATATTGTATAGCTCTCACCAAAGATTTATTATGGATTTACATATTTCTAGCATCAAGATCTTTCATTGTCAACATACCTACAAATTTAACAAGTAACGAAATTCGGCCCATGTGATAACGGTTATTTTTTAATTAAAAGATGTCTATGATTTATAAACAGTTTTCCTAAAAATAATAACTATGGCTTATTTACAATAATTGTTGGTTTCAACTCTATTTTTGAATATATAATTTAAATTTTTACTGAAATTTTCTTTTAATAATTTTCTTTTTGCTCAGATATTATTAAAATATCAACAAATACTGTGCCTGCACCTGCATTGCTGAACTAATAAGAGCCAGACTAATAATGAACTTGGCCCCAATTCTCACTTTCACTTTTGTTACATAACACAATACCCAATAATTATTTTAAATAAATAATACTTTACATACATATTGTAATCATTTGATCAAATACATGTAATGAACCGTTACCTGTTAGTACTTGTCACAGAGAAAGTTTGTCTGTCAATTAGGAAAGAATATTATTTTAAGGAATTACATGGATATAATAGTCAATGATAAAATAATAAAAGGAAACATATTTTGGAAAAAGTAAAAAAAAAAAAAGACTTCATCTTCGAACTCTCCTACTTCACCCACAAGCCATTGGAAACGAAAAGTTTTTTCTAAAATTGAATTGTTAAAAAAAAGAAAGTATTTTATGCTCAATATAAAATAAATAAACCATCAGTTTCCAGTGGCTCTAAAAAATAACAAAAAACATGCAATTATAAAAAATAAATATGAAAAATGTTTAAAAGATAAAGATGATTTTAATTATTTTTTTTTTTTACAAAACTTACCTCCCTTTTTTAATTTTCTGAATTATTGCATTGAATTTCTTTAACAAAAGAAAAAAGTTTCTCTACTGATTAAAAAACTAAAAAAAACATTTTATTTAAAAAAAATATTAGAAATGAAATTGCACAAAATAAAAAGTCAAAGCATTAAAAAAAAAAAAAAAAGTAGAAGACAATAGCTAAAATAAGAACGGCTCACCTTTATACTTCGGTACGAACAATTTAATATCTTGCGGGATGTTTTGGTAAAATTCCAACTCCCGAGGATTCAGAGGTTTGCATATCGTCCCTTCGTCCAGCAACAGGAGTCTTGTATGACCACCGACCTATAAACAAAAAAAAAGGTTAAACATGTACTCTCGATTAGCTTTGAAGATAAAATTATGGGTAGTTCAACACAGATCTGGGCGTTGCAAATGAAAACATATTTGATATGATTTATAACAGTGTAAGGACAAAATTAAATTAAATCAGTTCTTTATGAGTGAGTCACACTATTGTTTCCAAGTGGGTATTAATGCATTTTTTTTTTTTTAAGTTATGAATCATATTAAAGTTAAAAACTAAGTAGAGGATAAAGAACTTATCAAAATTATTAGTTCAAGTTGGAAACAACAATTTTCTTAAATTAATTAGACGATTTTCTTATTATTTTATTCATAATTAAATATTAGCATAGATTTACAAGACATCAATTAAAAAGAGAATAAAAAATAAAACAGACTATTGCAAAACATATATAAAAATCAATTATGATTCTAAAGAACAAGAGATGACAAACTAAAGTAACCGCTGGCTATTGAAGTAAGATATGAAATTGAATTCTGGAGTCTTGGGACACCAGTTCGAATACGGCCTGGGCAGGTTGAAATTATTTCATGATGGTCCCCCGCACTAGCTGATCCAGGTTTTAATTTCGGGGGAGGCTTCAGCCCAAAAGATTTTTTTCATATACATATAACGATAATTAATTTGAAAAAAAAAAAAAAGAAATTAACTTCCAATATGAAATGGTGTTTATGTGGCTCTTGAAGTCCTATTAAATATAATTAAACGAACAAGAATACTTTAAGAGATAGTTTTTAATATTTTTTTTCCGTAAAACATGGTTATATTTTACCATTTTGGGGGGGGGAGAGGCTCAGCCCAAAAGCCTCCCCTCCCCTAGATCCGCCTGTGGTCCCACACAATGAATCTCGACCTTCCAACCCTGGTCGGAATAGGTTTTGTTGTACTTAGAGTTGTTCTGACATCGGTTAAGTCCCATTATTCCTAATCAATATCGATATCGGTATTTGATATTGATATAGGTATGTTTAATCAAAAATATCAATGAAATTGTTGAGATGCTTAAAAATATATGAACAGTCTATTAAGTGACTTTTAATAACTTAAATGATTAAGAACTTAGATGAATTTTTCCTTTGAGAAATCAGAAAATTGTCCACTACAGGGCATATAAAAAAGGCTTCATGCCGTTTTAGGGTACTTAGTGTTTTATACTTTATTGATAAACGAGGATAAAATTCACAAAAAGAAAAGCTTCATAAAAAATATACTTATTGACTTCCTGCAATAACCCAAAGATATGAAATATATTAACCAGAGGTACCCACCTATTACCAACAAGGTCAATGGGACAATCCTCCTCTCTCCCCACCCAAGATATTTTATTGCTCACCTCTTCTTAAAAAACAAAGCAAGCGAAATTACAATTAGAAAGAGCGTAGATTATACACAATTACAGTTTCTGAAGCCTGTTTTATGCTTCATCGTCTTTTGACTTAGATATTTTCATTTTGAAAATTCATAAATACATCGAAATGGGGCCCCTTCAAATTTCAATGTCCTCTTTCCCCCTCATAACCTGATGGTGCAACTTGCATCATGAAACCCCCTTCTGGGCACCCCTGGAAGGATATGAACCCTTTGAAAGTTTATAACTTCATTTAATAATATATAATATATATATTTAAGGGATTGTATTTGAATAGTTTAATAAAATATTGGTACATGTTAATGTGTTAACTTAAGATTTTTTTTTTTTAAATATTAAATTGATCAAGAGTTTATAGTCCGTGGGGTACAGACCAGACCCCATTTTATCAAATTATTAACATTCGCCGGAAACTTCGTAAATAGCTTCATCTCATCCTAACATACAAATATTGTATTCTCGGAATTGGGATGTTTTCAATTTGAAGATCGGCAAATTTTGTTTATTTAATTAGATAATAAAAACTCGTAAATACCCTTTTGATTTCCACTTGGATCTTAAGATAACTTGATCACAAAATCGAGAAAAAAAGGTGGCCTACAAAAATATTCAGCCATTTGGCCTATATGACCTAGTTATTTTTGAATTTGGAGGGTGTAGGGCACGCCCATCTTTTTTTATTTTTATTTTGTGATGAAGTTATCTTACGATCAAAGTGGAAATCAAAAGGGTATTTAAGAGTTTTTAGTACCGAATTAAATAGACAAAGTTTGCCGATCTTCAGATTGAAAACGCCCCGATTCCTAAAATTTTGGCAAATACAATATTTGTAAGTTACGATGAGATGAAGCCATTTATGAAGTTTCAGGGGAGTGTTAATAATTTGATAAAAAGAGGGGTCTATACCGCGGACTATTATAATGTAAACAATAAAAAAAATGATAACAAATATCGAAATCCGATATTATGGCAATATCCGTAATAGTACCTCTTTCGGGGAGGACTTTCGCGCTGAAGCCCCGCAAAGTGGTAAAATATAACCATGTACTTCAGAAAAAAATATTAAAAACTATCTCTTAAAGTATTGTTGTTCCTGTAATTACATATAATAGGACTTCAAAAACCACTTAAACACCATTTCATATAGGTAGTTAATTTTTTTCTAATTAATTATTGCTATATGTATATGAAAAAAAATCTTTCTGGCTGAAGACCTTCCCCCCCAAAAAAAAAATTAAATCTTGGATCCGCTAGAGCTCTATAATAACCTGCTCCGTATTACCAGAAATGGTAAACGCAAGGAGTAATTTAAATATAACACAATATAAATATTGAATAATATAAAAACTAACCTGATTATTTAAAGGAAGAAGGGCTACTTCTTTATCACTGTCCCCAATCATAAGTTCCAGCTGCGACCTTCTCTCATGTTCCCCCATTCCCCACTCTCCTGGAAGGTAGACCATCCCGAGTGCCAGTTTCTTCTTCTCTAGAAGCTTATTCTGAAACGAGACAAAAAGAAATAATATCAAAAACACGTCAGAACAAGTACGTAACGACAGCCGACAGTAATGGCAGATGACTCAAAACTGCTTTAATAGCCGTCTGACTAAGATTTAAATCATTCAAAAAAACAGAAAGAAAATTTTAATTGCGGTGCTCAGCCGTTAAAGGCAATTGAGAGGGGAAATCTCTGAGTCAACCAATTATGCAACAGCCATCATGATACCGACGGCGATTCAGTTTAAAAGGAAACCGAGTATTCAGTTTTAAAAGTTCAAAAAGGAGAGAAAGTGTGAAGGAAACGTGAAATTAGTTCAAGTGTAAGGTTAGAAAAATGAAAGTGAATTGTTGACTAAGTTCACATTTATCTAGTTTAAGCGAACGCCTTGAGCAATCTGGGAACTGCATCATAAAGATAATCCAGGAAAATCCAACTGATGGCATTTTAATCTCGAAACTCGTTATAAATATCAGGAAACAGTGTTATACAAATACATAACATCAGATATACAAACAGGAAAAAGGTTAAACAAATATAATTATTAATACTTTATATTTAAATTTAGTTACCCTCCTCTGAAACGACAGAAATTTGTACACATTATGCAGACTAAAGAACATTATGAACAGGTTTAGGAGCCAGGACGTCAACTGTTTCTGAAGTATAAGGTTATTTTAGGAATAACATAATTGCAAATTATAACATTTAAAAAGCTGTTAATGATAACAATAAGCATTTTAATTTTAAGTACGAGTTAAAATACGATAAGTAACTTTAAAATGTTTTTTTATTCTATAACACATTGAGTTTTTTTCGTAGTAGGTAATGCTAAAACGACTGAAATCATGAATTAAGTAATCAGAAAAAGAAATTACAAACCATGGTGCATTTATTTTTATATATTATTTCTCAAAGGTGTTGTTTTGTTAGTACGCCATATCTTCGCCAATTCTTCATAAAATCCAATGACATGAAGGCAAGGAGGTTAACATGGGGGGAGAAGGCATGTAGCTCTAAGCCATCCATCAAGAACACTTTAAACAACAATGAATGCCAAAATAATTAGCAAGAGACTAAATTGGCGATAAAAAATCTATCAACAAAGATGCAGGTGAAAGCAGCCAAAGATCTGCATAGCCAACAGAAAAAAAAAAATCACTCTTAAAATAGCACAGGAGTACTAAAATATTCTTCCAAATCTATAAGTGATTTACATAAATCTCTTTTAGTACTATCATGTTCCCCTATTCAATTTTACTACCTATATTACTAAGGTCACAGGATATATATTCTAAAACCAGTCCTAATGGGCTATATGTATTGTGACCATTTCCTTGAGATGATTCACTGAGAAATCGTTCTGTGAAACACAGTAATGAAAACAACGACGACGAATGCTTGCACGCAGGGTGACGTGAGGCAGTTTGTGAGCGTTCGTGAGTTGTGGAGTTCATGTGTTCGTGCCGCAGTTTTCCATTAGTGAATGCAAACAATTAAGACATTAAATATCTTATTACTTTCATATTTTTTGTTTGATACAAAACTGACAACGAATTTCCATTCATGCGTACAAACTTTCTATTTGATTGAATCATGAAGAAGGCGTACACAATACGCTGAAACGTCAGCTCGCAAGCAGAAACAAATATTTACTATAATATAACTTTTTTGTTCCAAATCAAACTTAAATATTCAGAAAGTTTAAACTTCAATTACGATATGAAAAGACTAACATTAAACTATTCTATTTTTCCAGTCCGAAATCTTTCGAAAAATATTGAATGTTCCTTATTATGTGACCACCAAAACCATATGCATAATGCATAATAGTATCATTGGTTCTAGGTTTAAGTCTTATATGCAAGTAATGATAAGTTCCAGATTTTTTTTAAACTACACCAGAATCCTTCTCATCATCGAAATCTACTAGCTCCATTCATCGCTACAATCCTCATCGAAGGGTGAAACAGCAGTGACCCTACGGCGACCCTTTTTAAATATGGATATACATATACAATATATTAAAATGGAGTTCTGGCAATGGCCAAATTTTCCACTCAAGTCATGTGCGCCTGTGGCTAAACGAGAAGCGCTGGGATTTCCTGGAGTGGTTTTCCCTCCACATGTGAGGGAATATGGGATAATCCTGCTTCGGAGTTCCCCAGGCTGAATATACGTATAGTGCTTAATTACATCAGTACTTAAGATATTTATTTAATTTTTATAACAATATTTTTTATATTTTATAACAATATAAGGGTTAGGATAATATTCACTTCCATAATAAAAACAGGCATCAGATAAACTGTCCTACTTTATTTTTACAATACATTCAGTAGGATAAAGTAGAACTGACTCTAGTGTTTTATTATATTTATTCTTACTTTTTTTTTTTTGGTTTTATTTCGTTCTTATATATATATATATATATATATATATATATATATATATATATATATATATATATATATATATATATATATATATATTCTTTAATTTACATATATTTTTTTTGTAAATATGGTGTGAATGTACTCGTTCATTATTATAATCACTGTCACTTGATTGAAACAGAATGTATTATTATTCAATAAAAAAGAAGGAGTTTCAATTTGCAAATTGGTCGTTTGAAAAAGATGATAAAGAAACCATTTGTATTTTGGCGACCCTGGTGAATGGAAATTGAGTTGCCTCCAATTATCAAAATCTATGATTTATATTATGTATCAATTTTATAATATAATATTCTCTGAAAATATTTTTATTGTTAAATACACAAATAATAATAAAAATACAAAACCGTCGGACACAGCTAATGATGTATAATTTCGATAAAAAATTCTAATCGATTCTTTTTTTACTTTAGGTAATTAAGGATGTAATTAGGTAAGTTAAATAATTTTGCTTCCTTACAACAGAAGGCAGTGAAGAATTTTGTATTCGTGCGGGAAGTTAAATTTTATAAAGTGTTTACGTGCGCATTTCTTTATGCATCCAATAAAAAATGGCAAGGAATCTATACTGATTATTTGGCAGCTTTTTTTTTAGAAATAATAATAATTTAAAATATGCATAAATATTTATTTAAAAAAAATGAGACAAACAGGAAAAAAATAACCCAAAAATGACAGAACTGGAGTCAGAAATAGTAATAGGAAGAGAAGACACACTCTAGCAATACTAATAGACCATTGACAAGTGTTTGGAACCATGTCTTAAAAACAACATATAACGGTTACATATTTGCCTAAAATAAATTCACGGCTAGTAGTACAATATATACATCCACCAAATCTTTTTTTAAACAGTTCCCGGTATAATTTTTACCCTAAGTAATGTATAACTAAGTGAAAAAGTCGTGTGATGCACAAGCCGTAACGGAATTTTTATTTTTAATTTATTTATAACTAAAAAAAACAAAACGATTCTTCACTAGCGGATCCAGGATTTATTTTTGGGGGGGGGCTTCAGCCCGAAAGTTTTTTTTTTCATAAAAATAACGATAATTACTTTGGAAAAAAAGAAAGAAACTAACTACCTGTATGAAATGGTGTTTAAGGTATTCCTAAAGCCTTTTTAAATGTAATTACAAGAATAATAATACTTTAAGAGATACTTTTTTAATATTTTATTCGATAAAACATGGTTATATTTTTCCATTTTGGGGGGGCTTCAGCCCGAAAGCCCCCCCCCCCCCGTAGATCCGCCCGTGCGATTCTTTTCTACTTAAAACACACCAGCGAAACAAAACATTTTCTTAAACATGTTACGGGATTCATACTACCAACATCTGTTTTATTAAACGTAGAAAATAACTTGAAATAACCTTTAAATAAACTTCCCCATTTAAAGGTTATTTCAAATACAGAAATGAATTCATTTGAAGGAAAAGGAATCAAAATGAGTATTATTTTGAAATAATTTCGCGTTGTATTAAATTCCATGCCTTTAATAAATATTGTATTTATGTTAGATCATATTTAACAAATTCATATTTATAACGTTACACGTCATTCTTTTCTAGGTTATGTTTACTTTCTAGTCACATGTTCATAACTGTGAAATCAGTTACATGAGAAAAAAATTCACTGATATATTTAAAGTAGAAAATATTAGTTATGTTACCTTATTCTAAGTTAAATAAGATTCGAAATTCAAAATAGTACTATATTATTTAATTTAGGATTGTTTTTTAGTCAGCTTTATTTTATTTTTATAAATTAGCTTAAGAACTTTTAAGACAAAATGTACAACCATGTCAATTTTTTAAAGAATAAAACAACATATTTTATTTGAGAAAATATTTAACAACAAACATCTGGAACTATTTTATACACAGAATCGTTTCGAACTGACCTATAAGTATAAAAAATTATTCTGTAATTGGGTAAGTTTATAATATTATGCATTAATTGTTTTTAAAAAAATAAAGAGATCTTGTTTCATATTGGATACAACATGTTTAAAATAACACATTGTTTTAAAATAACTGATTTTAAAATAACTCGGAAAAAAATAGCGGCTTTAATTAAACTCTCTGGATACTCGCTGTTATTCTGTTAAAAACTGTTTTCTGAAAATATTCGGTTATTTAGAAGAAATAACTAGTTACGCCAAGACGTGCTTAACCTCCATTGATTCTGCTGGGGTTTTTCCATTGTACTCTCACCTCGTGATGTCGACACAGAGTAAGGCTTTATGGCCTCTTCTTTTTTTCTTCTATTTATTCCATTTCAAAATTAAGATTATTTAACATTATTTACTTTGTTCTATTTTAAAAAAGTAACAATCGAAGGAAATATTTGAGAGTAGATGTACAGTTATTGGACAGTTTACTGATGAAGAAACCATTGGCTCGTTCTAAATCATGGAGGCCGTGGGAACACTCCAGGTCCTTTCTCGAGTTGCCTTTAAAGTCTCACGTAGCCATTTTTTTTTTTTGTTTCTGTAACATTTAAAGCTGACTTTTATGCCGGTAAGTTTTATATATTCAGCTGGTTTACTTCACATCATAAAATTGTATTAGTATTTCGTTATTTTAAAATTATAATTATGATATTTTAAGAAGATAAGAATATGTAAATAGATCATGATACATCTATCATAATTTATTTTGTATTCTAATTTACAATTATACATACAGACATAAAAAAAAAGTAAAAAAAAAAATCAAATTTACCGGGCCTCGATACAAAGGACACGGCAAATTTTCCTTTTTTTTTTTAGGAAAGGAGGAGGAGTGAAGAAGAAATGTAATTGTTTCATTATTACTAAGAAAATAAATAAAAAATCAATCCTTCGATAAAATGAAAAAGTCTGTCACGTTTAAGGAAAATATGTGAAGAAAATACGAATAAAAATCTTTAAAATTGAATAAATTGCAACAATATTTAAATTAAGTAAATATTAAACCACCAACCACAAAAAGAATTAGATTTTGAAAGTATTCTACAAAAAAGTGATTTTCAAACAAGTTTTTTTAAATTATGATGCCACACTGGTGTCTCTCACTAGCTTGTTGCTATATTCATCAGTCTTCTAAAGGTAGGTTTAGACATTTCACAAATTTCTAAATAAGTAGTTTCTCTAAGCTAGTGTTTTAGTTTCTTGATTATACTCTGTTCCATCTGCTATTAGTTCAAGAACGGAAATCAAAGAGTGTTTGGGTAAGCGCTTGTATTAGCTGTTAGACATTCCTTTACCGATTGTGTTGCTCGATAAATTTAGAATTTAATCACTCTTATTACGATTTAAATGGATTTTTTTCATCAACGAATATT